CCCGTCCGCCCCCCTCCGTTCGCTTTTCCCTGCCCCCAGAAGTCCGTTTTGCATCCGCTTATGCGGCCACGGCTAAGAAGATATTTCGCTGTACTTCGTGCACAGCTTACAGCACGACTCAGCGGCTTCCATCAATTCCGAGTACTGCAGTTAGTGACCATACAGTATTTGTCAGTACTGACTGATGAGATCGGTCACCTACGCCGCGGTGCGTTTGTGCCTCGGATGATAGCGCAGTCCTTATTTCATCTAAGTTGACCAGTTGCCTGCCCAGACCGCTTTGCTCCGTCTCACAGCACATACACTAAGTAGTTACTTAGTTTTTTATGACAAGTAAATTATTAGTCTAAAGCAGCATGAATTAAGCTGTTTCTAATAGTTAAGTTTAAAATCGGTAATAGTTTAATGGTTTAGTAAATTGAACTGTTCCGTATATAGTGGAAGTTCCACTAATATTGACAGGAGCCTTCAGCATATACATAGGAATTTATAATTTAGTGGAAATTAAAAAATTTTGATTCATTAGGCTGTATGCGTCGTAACTCAGCGCTGCAACTGAACCTCGTCAGTATAATGGTTAGTTTAACTATTACTACGTAACAAACACAATAACTGGCCAGTGCCGGTGTGAAGACGCGTTTTCCGCACTATTCCCCGCAGGTTTTTTCGCTTAACTGCACTATTTTTTCCGTCAGATGCTTCTAGCTAAGAGAATTGAGACTGGCCGCCAGGACTGTCAGGAAACATTCCTTTAAAATTGCAGATTTCTAGCTTTTCTGGTTTCCGAGTTAGCAACTTACCAAAATTTCCACGGCTTCGTACGTAGGGATCATGTGGGCAAGAGTGTTCATTTTAAGGATAGGGACCCGTAAATGTATATAGATTAAGTTCCCATAGTTTCAGCTTTGTAGCTTTTGTAGGTCTTGAGATGAAAAATAGGCACAGACGCATATACATAGAGATAGATACAAACCCACCGACAATTCCTTGACAGTATGCGTTTTTGCATTGCGTAGATACAAAAACGTATAAAAATCTGGGACTGATGCCTGTTCCTTTAAAATGCTAACTGTTAAGGAAGGCTAGGAGAAAGCACAGAAGACTCAGATCTTCGGCATCTTCAGTTACACGACCTGCTGGTACTGCGTAATAAACGTTTATTCAGAGACTATGTGGGTGGGAATAGCGTATTGAAATCTTCGGGCAGTTTAGTTCAAGGTATGCGGTTTTTGTCGATGGCTTTGCGGGTCGGAGGTTCGTGCTTCTACTCTACGGATGAGAGACACGCAATGAAATACACTTTTTTGTTGATATGGAGAGTGGTTTCTTTGCCAAGTGAAGGAAGTTCCGGAGATGTAGTGGTTTTATGATTCGATGTCTCTTCGTAGACAACAGTGCACCATAAGTAGCTTCTTGCCAACAGGTGTTTCCTACTGGTACGCCCTCTTCCAGTGAATGCACAAGGAGGGGTTTTTTCGACTTCTGATGCGTTTTTTTTTTGCATTTATGCAATGCAAAAGTGCATATTGTGAAGGGATTTACTGTGAGCATATATGCCTGTACTTGTCGTGTGTGTGTGTGTGTGTATATTTGTGTCCGCATGCTTCGATTTCCAGATCTATGAAATCCATGATGAAATTTTGAAAGTGTAGTTTACGTGTACGACGGGTTCCCAGGCGTAAATAAATCATCACTTCCTCCTAGTTCTTACATATGGATACGTGGAAGATATTTTGGTAGCAAAGATTTCGAGAACCAGACAAGTGGAATTCTACGAGGACGTCCCCCATCCATATACGACCCAAAGAATTTAAATTCAGCAATCACATATGCCTACTCTTCGCATAGGAACAGATCGTACTGTAAATACAGGGATCGTTGGCACAGCGCCAGACGACCGCGAGCTGAACTCCACATAAAAATATAGCTTGACTACGATGTCTGCTGCTGGTAACATGCGAGCCTGCAAGTCCGACATGGGTTTTCACGTACGCCTAAGCCTCACATACGGAAATGTGGAAGTTGACGCTAACAGTTTTGTAATTTCACAACTGAAATACCTAGAGGACCGGAATTTTGTGAGCATAGTCCACGACAATGTAAGATAAGTTCACATGAAATCAGTTTTCACTTCTCGAATTTTTTTTTTAAGAACGAGCATGTGGGAAAGCGACGTTAAAATTTTTGTAACTGGTTGTATAAAAAAACGCTTAGTCGAGCAGGCATTTTGTTGCGTGCCGTAAATTATTCACATTGGCTGCAAATGGAGAATCGGATCCGACGATGATTAAAACGATTTGCGGCCAATTATCATTATATGTATGTATATAGGTACATATATGTATGATATATATAACATATGTACTTATAATATATGTATATATATGTATATAAAACAAAAAAAGACGTCAAGTTTCATTCGTCTCCTCTTCGAGCAAAGTACACTGCGCTCATAACACTACGTTAGCAAACGAACATGCACATGATCTCTTTATCCACACTCAACAAAATGATAATTGCGTTATCGGAAAAAAAAAACGTCTCCACTTAGTAGGTTTTTCTAAACTTATAGAAAAACGCAACCAACAAAAAACGTTTTTTCCATTTTTCCATCCATCTTTGTTCAGTAATCATTAATTTTTTTTTGCCAACATTGTGAGTTTAAAGAATCAATCCGAAAAGAAAAGAAAAACATATACACGCTTTGAAATGAAAAAGGGGAACGAGTGAGTGAATTTACCGATGTTAGATTTTGTACACACACGCGCATATATAACACAAGAATAAAAAAACAATCT